ACACTCTCTGTCTTGCTTACCACTCTCTCTCTGTCTTGCTTACACTCTCTGTCTTGCTTACACTCTCTGTCTTGCTTACACCCCTCTGTCTTGCTTACACTCTCTCTCTGTCTTGCTTACACTCTCACGCTGCCTTTCTTACACTCTCTGTCTTGCTTACACTCTCTCTCTCTGTCTTGCTTACACTCTCTCTCTGTTTGCTTACACTCTCTCTCTGTCTTGCTTACACTCTCCTCTCTGTTTGCTTACATCTCTCTCTCTGTCTTTGCTTACACTCTCTCGCTGTCTTGCTTACACTCTCTCTCTATCTTGCTTACACTCTCTCTCTGTTTGCTTACACTCTCTCTCTGTCTTCTTATACTCTCTCTCTGTTTGCTTACACTCTCTCTGTCTTGCTTTACACTCTCTCTCTGTTTGCTTACACTCTCTCTCTGTCTTGCTTATACTCTCTCTCTGTTTGCTTACACTCTCTCGCTGTCTTGCTTACACTCTCTCTCTGTTTTCTTACACTCTCTCTCTGTCTTGCTTACACTCTCTCGCTGTCTTGCTTACACTCTCTCTCTGTCTTGCTTACACTCTCTCTCTGTTTGCTTACACTCTCTCCTCTGTCTTGCTTACACCCTATCTCTGTTTGCTTACACTCTCTCTCTTTTCTTGCTTACACTCTCTCTCTGTTTGCTTACACTCTCTCTCTCTCTGCTTGCTTACACTCTCTCTCTGTCTTGCTTACATCTCTCTCTGTTTGCTTACACTCTCTCTCTCTTCTTGCTTACACTCTCTCTCTGTCTTGCTTTCACTCTCTCTTGTTTGCTTACACTCTCTCTCTCTGTCTTGCTTACACTCTCTCGCTGTCTTGCTTACACTCTCTCTCTGCTTGCTTACACTCTCTCTCTGTCTTGCTTACACTCTCTTTCTGTTTGCTTACACTCTCTCTGTCTTCCTTACACTCTCTCTCTGTCTTGCTTACACTCTCTCTCTGTTTGCTTACACTCTCTCTCTGTCTTGCTTACACTCTCTCTGTCTTGCTTACACTCTCTCTCTGTCTTCCTTACACTCTCTCTCTGTTTGCTTACACTCTCTCTCTCTCTCTGTCTTGCTTACACTCTCTCTCTCTGTCTTGCTTACACTCTCTCTCTGTCTTCCTTACACTCTCTCTCTGTCTTCCCTTACACTCTCTCTCTGTCTTCCTTACACTCTCTCTGTCTTGCTTACACTCTTCTCTCTGTCTTTTCTTACACTCTCTGTCTTCCTTACACTCTCTCTCTGTCTTGCTTACACTCTCTCTCTGTCTTCCTTACACTCTCTCTCTGTCTTCCTTACACTCTCTCTCTGTCTTCCTTACACTCTCTCTGTCTTGCTTACACTCTCTCTCTGTCTTGCTTACACTCTCTCTCTGTCTTCCTTACACTCTCTCTCTGTCTTGCTTACACACTCTCTTTCTCTTTTGCTTACACTCTCTCTCTGTCTTGCTTACACTCTCTCTCTTTTGCTTACACTCTCTCTCTGTCTTGCTTACACTCTCTCTCTCTGTCTCAACTCACGAGTTATTAACACTAATGTGATGGTAATATGAATTATTATTATTATTATTATTATTATTATTATAATTATTATTATTATTATTATGACAAGTGATCAATATGTGTGGATCAAACAGCGGAAATAGTGGTGTAGGCTCGACCCTCCGTACACCAACAGCGAGACACACCCAGACGCGACCTGCCATTTCTCGGACAGTCATGGGAATGGCAGCGGACACTCAGTGAGACACCTAGCGTCCACGGGACACCCCGTGACACTAGGGGTCAGTGTCATGGGTTACCCCGTGACAGTAAACCCCGCGTCGGGAAGACAAACACACCTCTCTCATTTCCTGACAAATAAAACACCGTCTTGTACAGTGAAGAACTCCAGCCGGTGTGTGTCTGTGTGTCTGTGTGTTTGTTTCTAAACACCACACACACACACATTTAAGCTCTAAGCTTATTTTTTCCCCTGACTATTGCTTCTAACCTTTTTAATTAAGCTTTGTAAATGATTGCTGATGTTTTCTCAGGTAGACTTTTTGTACACTCACCTCTCATAACTATTGGCATTAAAAAACTGATAACCTAACACGAAATAAATTTTTTACTTATACATACATGTATATATACATATAATACGAATATACGTATATATACGTATATATAAATATATATATAATTTTAAAAATATATATATAATATAATATATATATATATATATATATATATATATATATATATATATATAATATATATATATATATATATATATAATAATATAATTTAGTTTTTTTTTCAAAATTTATAAATTAAAAATTTAGCTACTGCTTTTCAGAGAGCTTTTAGACAATGAGTTTACCTACATAGGTGTGTGCAGCTTACCTCCACGGCGCCTGGAGGCCAACTGGAGGCCAGTCAGCTCTGTGTGTCCTATTGTAACTTTACTGTTTTGTTCCGCTTGTGGGCGGAGCCAGGGTTGTGACGTCATTGGAGGGCGGGGCCAACTTTATGACGTCACTGGAGGGAGCTTGTCGCTCATTGGCTCCCGGGTTGCCCCCTGCCATCACCCTGTCCTGTGACGACGTGTCGTGCATGTACGTAAACTGTACATTACTACTTGTGTACGTGAAACTGTGTGTACGTGTGTGTATGTGCTGGGTGTTCACACTATATGTGTGTACGTGAGCCTGTATGTGTGTGTGTGTGTGTGTGTGTGTGTGTGTGTGTGTGTGTTTTTGTATACATGTACGTGAATATTATACTTATGTACGTGTGTATATTTTACTTGTGTACGTATGAATGTGTGACTTGATACGTTTAGCTGTGTGTACATGTGTATGTTCTGCTATGTGTACATCTGTATATACGGCTGTGTGTACCTCTGTGTAAGCATGTGTACGTCTGTATGTGTAGCATTATCTACATCTGTACGTATGACTACGTGTATGTATTTACAACTATGTGTACGTATATATGTATAACCGTGCATATGTTTGTATGTATGCCTATGTGAACGTTTGTGCGTATGACCGTGTGTATGAATGTATGTATGATCACGTGTACGTCTGTGTGTATAACTGTATTATCTCTGTCAGTAATTTTAAGCCAATACAAAAATCCACAATACCGAGGCTGGAACAATTCACGACTAACCCACAATTTAACACAAAAATCTCCAGACGACGTTTCGGTCAGTCATGGACCGAAACGTCCTCATAATGGTCCAGGAATTAGAAAAAATCCATCTATTTATGCAACATATGGGAATCTTGATTGAAAAAACGTTTCTCCACACAGTGGCTTCATCAGTCCAATACAAAGTAGAAATGGGTAAGGAATGGAGCAGAGTGAGGTAATCAGTCCCTCAACCTGGAATCGATGTGTTTAGTCCATCACTCTTGTAGAAAGTCCAGCATAGGGCCAGAGAGGTGGCTTATATGTACTCACCTAGTTGTACTCACCTAGTTGAGGTTGCGGGGGTCGAGTCCGAGCTCCTGGCCCCGCCTCTTCACTGATCGCTACTAGGTCACTCTCCCTGAGCCGTGAGCTTTATCATACCTCTGCTTAAAGCTATGTATGGATCCTGCCTCCACTACATCGCTTCCCAAACTATTCCACTTACTGACTACTCTGTGACTGAAGAAATACTTCCTAACATCCCTGTGATTCATCTGTGTCTTCAGCTTCCAACTGTGTCCCCTTGTTACTGTGTCCAATCTCTGGAACATCCTGTCTTTGTCCACCTTGTCAATTCCTCTCAGTATTTTGTATGTCGTTATCATGTCCCCCCTATCTCTCTCTGTCCTCCAGTGTCGTCAGGTTGATTTCCCTTAACCTCTCCTCGTAGGACATACCTCTTAGCTCTGGGACTAGTCTTGTTGCAAACCTTTGCACTTTCTCTAGTTTCTTCACGTGCTTGGCTAGGTGTGGGTTCCAAACTGGTGCCGCATACTCCAATATGGGCCCAACATACACGGTGTACAGGTTCCTGAATGATTCCTTATTAAGATGTCGGAATGCTGTTCTGAGGTTTGCTAGGCGCCCATATGCTGCAGCAGTTATTTGATTGATGTGCGCTTCAGGAGATGTGCCTGGTGTTATACTCACCCCAAGATCTTTTTCCTTGAGTGAGGTTTGTAGTCTCTGACCCCCTAGACTGTACTCCGTCTGCGGCCTTCTTTGCCCTTCCCCAATCTTCATGACTTTGCACTTGGTTGGGATTGAACTCCAGGAGCCAATTGCTGGACCAGGTCTGCAGCCTGTCCAGATCCCTTTGTAGTTCTGCCTGGTCTTCGATCGAGTGAATTCTTCTCATCAACTGTGTGTGTGTGTGTGTGTGTGTGTGTGTGTGTGTGTGTGTGTGTGTGTGTGTGTGTGTGTGTGTGTGTGTGTGTGTGTGGTGTGTGGTTTTGTGTGTGTCTGTGTGTGTGTGTGTGTGTGTGTGAGTGTTGTGTGTGTGTGTGTGTGTGTGTGTGTTGTGCACCACAAGCCTTCACAATAGTGTATATGTCAGACTCTGCACACAGTCTCCCCGGGGTACAGAAAACACCTTGTGCCAAGCCTTGACTGGCTTAAGCCTGCCTTTATCTAAGCCATTAATGGCCCTTGTCCCACGGGATTTCCCGGACCAGTCGTTCCAGTTAAACAGAGAGGGAGAGAGAGAGAGAGAGAGAGAGAGAGAGAGAGAGAGAGAGAGAGGAGAGAGAGAGAGAGAGAGAGAGAGAGAGAGCGGGGAGAGAGAGGGAGAGAGAGAGAGAGGAGAGAGAGGAGAGAGAGAGAGGGGAGAGAGAGAGAGAGAGAGAGAGAGAGAGAGAGGGGAGAGAGAGAGAGAGAGAGAGAGAGAGAGAGAGTGAAGAGAGAGAGAGAGAGCAGAGAGAGACAGAGAGATAGACAGAGAGAGAGAGAGAGAGAGAGAGAGAGAGAGTGGGTGTTTACCCTTGATTTAGTTAAAGTTGATGAGGCAGTCGATCATTGCGGTGTGTACAGGTGTTGCTATTGCGTGTGCAGGTGTTGTTGCTGTGTGTACAGGTGTAGTTGTTGTGTTTACAGGTGTTGCTGTGTGTACAGAAGTTATTGCTGTTGTGTATGCAGGTGTTGCTGTTGTTGTGTGTGCTGGTGTTGCTGTTGTATGTGCAGGTGTTGCTGTTGTGTGTGCAGGTGCTGTTGTTGTGTGTGCAGGTATTGCTGTTGTGTGTACAAGTGTTGTTGCTGTGTGTACGAGTGTTGTTGATGTATGTAAAGGTGATGCTGTTGTATGTACAGGTGTTGCTGTTGTGTGAACAGGTGTTGCTGTTGTGTGTACAAGTGTTGTTGCTGTGTGTACGAGTGTTGTTGATGTATGTAAAGGTGATGCTGTTGTATGTACAGGTGTTGGTGTTGTGTGAACAGGTGTTGGTGTTGTGTGTACAAGTGTTGTTGCTATGTGTACAGGTGTTGCTGCTCTATGTACAGGTGTTGCTGTTGTGTGTACAGGTGCTGCTGTTGTGTGTACAGGTGTTACTGTGGTGGGGGGAGGTGTTGCTGCAGTATGTGCAGGTGTTGTTACTGTGAGTACAGGTGTTATTACTGTGTGTACAGGTGTTGCTGTTGTGCGTGCAGGTGTTGCTGTTCTGTGTACAAGTGTTGCTATTTTGTGTATGGGTGTTTCTGCTGTATGAATAGGTGTTGTTGTTGTGTGTGCAGGTGTTGCTGTTGTGGGTACAGGTGTTGCCGTTGTGTTTACAGGTGTTACAGTTTTGTGTACAGGTGTTGCGGCTGTGTGAACAGGTGCTGTTGTAGTGTGTGCAGCTATTGCTATTGTGTGTACAGGTGTTGTTGTTGTATGTACGTGTATTGCCACTGATGCACAGGTGTTGCTGCCGTGTGTACATATGTTGCTGCTCTTTATACAGGTGTTGCTGTGGTGTATATGTATACGTATATATATATATATATATATATATATATATTATATTATATATATATATATATATATATATATATATATATATATATATATATATAATATATATATATATATATATATTATATATATATATATATATATATATATATATATATATATATATCAATATATGAAAGCTCTTTAAAATACTGAACAAGTCAATAGTGATTCAATACCTGTGTCACACCAGCCATCTCTCAGCCCCGTCCACACTGTATCGTCTGACGTCCACACTATATCGTCTGACGTCCACACTATATCGTCTGACGTCCACACTATATCGTCTGACGTCCACACTATCTCATCTGACGTCCACACTGTATCGTCTGACGTCCACACTATATCGTCTGACGTCCACACTATATCGTCTGACGTCCACACTATATCGTCTGACGTCCACACTATCTCATCTGACGTCCACACTATCTCGTCTGACGTCCACACTATATCGTCTGACGTCCACACTATATCGTCTGACGTCCACACTATATCGTCTGACGTCCACACTATATCGTCTGACGTCCACACTATATCGTCTGACGTCCACACTATATCGCCTGACGTCCACACTATATCGTCTGACGTCCACACTATATCGTCTGACGTCCACACTATATCGTCTGACGTCCACACTATATCGTCTGACGTCCACACTATATCGTCTGACGTCCACACTATATCGTCTGACGTCCACACTATATCGTCTGACGTCCACACTATATCGTCTGACGTCCACACTATATCGTCTGACGTCCACACTATATCGTCTGACGTCCACACTATATCGTCTGACGTCCACATTATATCGTCTGACGTCCACTCTATATAGTCTGACGTCCACACTATATCGTCTGACGTCCACACTATATCGTCTGACGTCCACACTATATCTTCTGACGTCCACACTATATCGTCTGACGTCCACACTATATCGTCTGACGTCCACACTATATCGTCTGACGTCCACACTATCTCGTCTGACGTCCACACTATCTCATCTGACGTCCACACTATCTCATCTGACGTCCACACTATCTCATCTGACGTCCACACTATCTCGTCTGACGTCCACACTATCTCATCTGACGTCCACACTATCTCATCTGACGTCCACACTATCTCGTCTGACGTCCACACTATCTCATCTGAAGTCCACACTATCTCATCTGACGTCCACACTATCTCATCTGACGTCCACAATATCTCATCTGACGTCCACACTATCTCGTCTGACGTCCACAATATCTCATCTGACGTCCACACTATCTCATCTAACGTCCACACTATCTCATCTAACGTCCACACTATCTCATCTGACGTCCACACTATCTCATCTGACGTCCACAATATCTCGTCTGACGTCCACACTATCTCATCTAACGTCCACACTATCTCATCTGACGTCCACACTATCTCATCTGACGTCCACAATATTCTCGTCTGACGTCCACACTATCTCATCTAACGTCCACACTATCTCATCTGACGTCCACACTATCTCATCTGGACGTCCACAATATCTCGTCTGACGTCCACACTATCTCATCTAACGTCCACACTATCTCATCTGACGTCCACACTATCTCATCTGACGTCCACAATATCTCGTCTGACGTCCACACTATCTCATCTAACGTCCACACTATCTCATCTGACGTCCACAATATCTCGTCTGACGTCCACACTATCTCATCTAACGTCCACACTATCTCATCTGACGTCCACACTATCTCATCTAACGTCCACACTATCTCATCTGACGTCCACACTATCTCATCTAACGTCCACACTATCTCATCTGACGTCCACAATATCTCGTCTGACGTCCACACTATCTCATCTAACGTCCACACTATCTCATCTAACGTCCACACTATCTCATCTGACGTCCACACTATCTCATCTGACGTCCACAATATCTCGTCTGACGTCCACACTATCTCATCTAACGTCCACACTATCTCATCTGACGTCCACACTATCTCATCTGACGTCCACACTATCTCATCTGACGTCCACACTATCTCATCTGACGTCCACACTATCTCATCTGACGTCCACACTATCGTCTGCTTCTCACACATGGGGATTTAAACAAACAGCTTCGTACGCTCGTGTGAATATATGTCAATAATGTTCTTCGAGCCTCGATCCATACTTCCCCTTCCTTCATAATTCCATGTAGTTGATCTTCACTTATACCCTATCTCTCTCTCTCTCTCTCTCTCTCTCTCTCTCTCTCTCTCTCTCTCTCTCTCTCTCTCTCTCTCTCTCTCTCTCTCTCTCTCTCTCTCTCTCTCTCTCTCTCCAAATGCTGCACACACACTTTCTGTCACCGATATAGAGGTACGTATCTGTATTTAGGTATGTATCTCTGTATTTAGGTATGTATCTCTGTATTTAGGTATGTATCTTTGTATTTAAGTATTTTTTTTATTATTAACACATCGGCAGGTTCCCACCAAGGCAGGGTGGCCCGAAAAAGAAAAACTTTCACCATCATTCACTCCATCACTGTCCTGCCAGAAGGGTGCTTTACACTACAGTTTTTAAACTGCAATATTAACACCCCTCCTTCAGAGTGCACGCACTGTACTTCCCATCTCCAGGACTCAAGTCCGGCCTGCCGGTTTCCCTGAACCCCTTCATAAATGTTACTTTGCTCACACTCCAACACCACGTCAAGTATTAAAAACCATTTGTCTCCATCCACTCCTATCAAACACGCTCACGCATGCCTGCTGGAAGTACAAGCCCCTCGCACACAAAACCTCCTTTACCCCCTCCCTCCAACCTTTCCTAGGCCGACCCCTACCCCGCCTTCCTTCCACTACAGACTGATACACTCTTGAAGTCATTCTGTTTCCCTCCATTCTCTCTACATGTCCGAATCACCTCAACAACCCTTCCTCAGCCCTCTGGACAACAGTTTTGGCAATCCCGCACCTCGTCCTAACTTCCAAACTACGAATTCTCTGCATTATATTCACACCACACATTGCCCTCAGACATGACATCTCCACTGCCTCCAGCCTTCTCCTCGCTGCAACATTCATCACCCACGCTTCACACCCATACAAGAGCGTTAGTAAAACTATACTCTCATACATTCCCCTCTTTGCTTCCAAGGACAAAGTTCTTTGTCTCCACAGACTCCTAAGTGCACCACTCACCCTTTTCCCCTCATCAATTCAATGATTCACCTCATCTTTCATAGATCCATCCGCTGACACGTCCACTCCCAAATATCTGAAAACATTCACCTCCTCCATACTCTCTCCCTCCAATCTGATATCCAATCTTTCATCACCTAATCTTTTTGTTATCCTCATAACCTTACTCTTTCCTGTATTCACTTTTAATTTTCTTCTTTTGCACACCCTACCAAATTCATCCACCAATCTCTGCAACTTCTCTTCAGAAATCTAAGTATATATCTCTGTATTTATGCATGTATCTCTGTATTTAGGTATATATCTCTGTATTTAGGTATATATCTCTGTATTTAGGTATATATCTCTGCATTTAGGTATTTATCTCTGTATTTAGGTATATATCTCTGTATTTAGCTATGTATCTCTCTATTTAGGTACGTATCTCTGTATTTAGGTATATATCTCTGTATTTAGGTATATATCTCCGTATTTAGGAATATATCTCTGCATTTAAGTATTTATCTCTGTATTTAGGTATATATCTCTGCATTTAGGCATGTATCTCTGTAATTAGGTATATATCTTTGTATTTAGGCATGTATCTCTGTATTTAAGTATATATCTCTGTATTTAGCTATGTATCTCTCTAGGTACGTATCTCTGTATTTAGGTATATATCTCTGCATTTAGGTATTTATCTCTGTATTTAAGTATATATCTCTGTATTTAGCTATGTATCTCTCTATTTAGGTACGTATCTCTGTATTTAGGTATATATCTCTATATTTAGGTATATATCTCTGTATTTAGGTATGTATCTCTGTATTTAGGTATATATCTCTGTATTTAGGTATGTATCTCTGTATTTAGGTATATATCTCTGTATTTAGGTATATATCTCTGTATTTAGGTATATATCTCTATATTTAGGTATGTATCTTTCTATTTAGGTATATATCTCTGTATTTAGGTATGTATCTCTGTATTTAGGTATTTATCTCTGTATTTAGGTATGTATCTCTGTATTTAGGTATATATCTCTGTATTTAGGTATGTATCTCTGTATTTAGGTATGTATCTCTGTATTTAGGTATATATCTCTGTAATTAGATATGTATCTCTGTATTTAGGTATATATCTCTGCATTTAGGTATATATCTCTGTATTTAGGTACATATCTCTGTATTTAGGTATATATCTCTGTATTTAGGTATATATCTCTGTATTTAGGTATGTATCTCTGTATTTTGATATATATATATCTGTATTTAGGTATATATCTCTGTATTTAGGTACATATCTCTGTATTTAGGTATATATCTCTGTATTTAGGTATATATCTCTGTATTTAGGTATGTATCTCTGTATTCAGGTATATATCTCTGTCTTTAGGTATATGTCTCTGTATTTAGGTATATATCTCTGTATTTAGGTATATATCTCTGCATTTAGGTATATATCTCTGTATTTAGGTGTATATCTCTGTATTTAGGTATATATCTCTGTATTTAGGTATATATCTCTGTATTTAGGTATGTATCTCTGTATTTTGATATATATATATATATATATATATATATATTATATATAATATAATATATATATATATATATATATATATCTGTATTTAGGTATATATCTCTGTATTTAGGTATATATCTCTGTATTTAGGTATATATCTCTGTATTTAGGTATGTATCTGTATTTTGATATATATATATATATATATATATATGTATATATATATATATATATATATATATATATATATATATATATATATATATATATATATATATATATATATATATCTGTATTTAGGTATATATCTCTGTATTTAGGTGTATATCTCTGTATTTAGGTATATATCTCTGTATTTAGGTATGTATCTCTGTATTTAAGTATATATCTCTGTATTTAGGTATATATCTCTGTATTTAGGTATATATCTCTGTATTTAGGTATGTATCTCTGTATTTAGGTATATATCTCTGTATTTAGGTATATATCTTTGTATTTAGGTATATGTCTCTGTATTTATGTATATATCTCTGTATTTAGGTATATATCTCTGTATTTAGGTATGTATCTCTGTATTTAGGTATATATCTCTGTATTTAGGTATATATCTCTGTATTTAGGTATATATCTCTGTATTTAGGTATGTATCTCTGTATTTAGGTATATATCTCTGTATTTAGGTATATATCTTTGTATTTAGGTATATGTCTCTGTATTTATGTATATATCTCTGTATTTAGGTATATATCTCTGTATTTAGGTATGTATCTCTGTATTTAGGTATATATCTCTGTATTTAGGTATATATCTCTGTATTTAGGTATATATATCTGTATTTATGTATGTATCTCTGTATTTAGGTATATGTCTCTGTATTTATGTATATATCTCTGTATTTAGGTATATATCTCTGTATTTAGGTACATGTCTCTGTATTTAGGTATATATCTCTGTATTTAGGTATGAATCTCTGTATTTAGGTATATATCTCTGTATTTAGGTATATATATCTGTATTTAGGTATATGTCTCTGTATTTAGGTATATATATCTCTGTATTTAGGTATATGTCTCTGTATTTAGGTATATATCTCTGTATTTAGGTATATATCTCTGTATTTAGGTATATATCTCTGTATTTAGGTATATGTCTCTGTATTTAGGTATATGTCTCTGTATTTAGGTATATATCTCTGTATTTAGGTATATGTCTCTGTATTTAGGTATATGTCTCTGTATTTAGGTATATGTCTCTGTATTTAGGTATATATCTCTGTATTTAGGTATATGTCTCTGTATTTAGGTATATGTCTCTGTATTTAGGTATATGTCTCTGTATTTAGGTATATGTCTCTGTATTTAGGTATATATCTCTGTATTTAGGTATATGTCTCTGTATTTAGGTATATGTCTCTGTATTTAGGTATATGTCTCTGTATGTAGGTATATGTCTCTGTATTTAGGTATATGTCTCTGTATTTAGGTATATGTCTCTGTATTTAGGTATATGTCTCTGTATTTAGTATATATCTCTGTATTTAGGTATATATCTCTGTATTTAGGTATATATCTCTGTATTTAGGTATATATCTCTTTATTTAGGTATGTATCTCTGTATTTAGGTATATATCTCTGTATTTAGGTATATGTCTCTGTATTTAGGTATATATCTCTGTATTTAGGTATATGTCTCTGTATTTAGGTATATATCTCTGTATTTAGGTATATATCTCTGTATTTAGGTATGTATCTCTGTATTTAGGTATATATCTCTGTATTTAGGTATATGTCTCTGTATTTAGGTATATCTCTCTGTATTTAGGTATATGTCTGTATTTATGTATATATCTCTGTATTTAGGTATATATCTCTGTATTTAGGTATGTATCTCTGTATTTAGGTATATATCTCTGTATTTAGGTATATATCTCTGTATTTAGGTATTTATTTTTTTTTTTTATTATCACACCGGCCGATTCCCACCAAGGCAGGGTGGCCCGAAAAAGAAAAACTTTCACCATCATTCACTCCATCACTGTCTTGCCAGAAGGGTGCTTTACACTACAGTTTTTAAACTGCAACATTAACACCCCTCCTTCAGAGTGCAGGCACTGTACTTCCCATCTCCAGGACTCAAGTCCGGCCTGCCGGTTTCCCTGAATCCCTTCATAAATGTTACTTTGCTCACACTCCAACAGCACGTCAAGTATTAAAAACCATTTGTCTCCATTCACTCCTATCAAACACGCTCACGCATGCCTGCTGGAAGTCCAAGCCCCTCGCACACAAAACCTCCTTTAAACCCCCTCCCTCCAACCCTTCCTAGGCCGACCCCTACCCCGCCTTCCTTCCACTACAGACTGATACACTCTTGAAGTCATTCTGTTTCGCTCCATTCTCTCTACATGTCCGAACCACCTCAACAACCCTTCCTCAGCCCTCTGGACAACAGTTTTGGTAATCCCGCACCTCCTCCTAACTTCCAAACTACGAATTCTCTGCATTATATTCACACCACACATTGCCCTCAGACATGACATCTCCACTGCCTCCAGCCTTCTCCTCGCTGCAACATTCATCACCCACGCTTCACACCCATATAAGAGCGTTGGTAAAACTATACTCTCATACATTCCCCTCTTTGCCTCCAAGGACAAAGTTCTTTGTCTCCACAGACTCCTAAGTGCACCACTCACTCTTTTTCCCTCATCAATTCTATGATTCACCTCATCTTTCATAGACCCATCCGCTGACACGTCCACTCCCAAATATCTGAATACGTTCACCTCCTCCATACTCTCTCCCTCCAATCTGATATTCAATCTTTCATCACCTAATCTTTTTGTTATCCTCATAACCTTACTCTTTCCTGTATTCACCTTTAATTTTCTTCTTTTGCACACCCTACCAAATTTAGGTATATATCTCTGTATTTAGGTATATGTCTCTGTATTTAGGTATATGTCTCTGTATTTAGGTATATGTCTCTGTATTTAGGTATATATCTCTGTATTTAAGTTTTATTTTTCTGTGAAATAAGTTTTACTCTTTTGTGCATTTTTTTTTTTTTGGTTTACTGGGTTTCAAGCCTATCTATCACACAATTGTTATTAAAGATTGAATTGTCACCTGTATACTCGGTGTATATACACTCCGAAACAAACACTTCTCGGTGTATATACACTCAGAAATACACACCTCTGGTGTATATACTCAGAAATACACACCTCTGGTGTATATTCTCAGAAATTCACACCTCTCGGTGTATATACTCAGAAATACACACCTCTGGTGTATATACTCAGAAATACACACCTCTTATATACACTCTCAGAAATACACAGTTTTCATTGTATATACTTTCAGAAATACACACCACTCGGTGTATATACTCTCAGAAATACACACCAATCGGTGTATATACTCTCAGAAATACACACCACTCGGTGTATATACTCTCAGAAATACACACCACTCGGTGTATATACTCTCAGAAATACACACCACTCGATGTATATACTCTCAGAAATACACACCACTCGGTGTATATACTCCAGAAATACACCACCAATCGGTGTATATACTCTCAGAAATACACACCACTCGGTGTATATACTCTCAGAAATACACACCACTCGGTGTATATACTCTCAGAAATACACACCACTCGATGTATATACTCTCAGAAATACACACCACTCGGTGTATATACTCTCAGAAATACACACCAATCGGTGTATATACTCTCAGAAATACACACCAATCGGTGTATATACCCTCAGAAATACACACCACTCGGTGTATATACTCTCAGAAATACACACCACTCGGTGTATATACTCTCAGAAATACACACCACTCGGTGTATATACTCTCAGAAATACACACCACTCGATGTATATACCTTTATTTCATATCTATCTCCTAATACAAAAATTCAATTTATACACTTCAATCTTTATTGCCTAATACAACTCATGTATTTATTTTTTTACCCTTTTTTCTCTGCTTATTGAGTCATGGTATACAGAGGTATACACGAAAATACTCATTAATATTCATACACATACATCAAGCCATAAACATTATAGTTTATATAAGACTAAAGAATTTGTATTGTGGTTTAGCATGATTATTATTATATTATTATATATTATTATTATTATTATTATTTATTTGTTTATATTATTATTATTATTAATTATTATTATTATTATTATTATTATTATTATTATTATTATTATTATTATTATTATTATTTTATTATTATTATATTATTATTATTATTATTATTATTATTATTATTATTATTATTATTATTATTATTATTATTATTATTATTATTATTATTATTATTATTATTATTATTATTATTATTATTATTATTATTATTATATTATTATTTTATTATTATTATTATTATTATTATTATTATTATTATATTATTATTATTTTATTTTATTATTATTATTATTATTATTATTATTATTATTATTATTATTATATTATTATTATATTATTATTATATTATTATTATTATTATTATATTATTATTATTATTTATTATTATTATTATTATTATTATTATTATTATTATTATATTATTATTATATTATTAATTTATTATTATTTATTATTATTATTATTATTATTATTATTATTTATTATTATTATTATTATTATATATTATTATTATTATTATATATTATTATTATTATTATTATTATTATTATTATTATTATTATTTATTATATATTATTATTATTATTATTATTATTATTATTATTATTATTATTATTATTATTATTATTATTATTATTATTATTATTATTATTATTATTATTATTATTATTATTATTATTATTATTATTATTATTATTATATTATTTTGATGATGATGATAATGATGATTATATTTTAATTATTATTATTATTATTATTAAAATTGCTATTATTATTATTGTTGTTGTTACTGATGTGATCTCAGCACACACAGGTTTATATTTCTCAGTATATATACACAGTGAGAGACGTACACTCGAGTGAGAGACATAAACAAAGTGTATACACACAGAGTTTACCTTAATCCCGTATTGAATGTATAGAAGTATTCTTGACTGGTGGTGCACAGGTGACGTGCAGCCTTAATGACCCTCGTGTGGCAGATAGTCTTCAAACCTCACTGACAAACTCACAGCAGCTGCGGCAGTTTAGCATCCAGCAAATATTGTTTTTGATTGCATAAGCAACTTTTGTCAGTTCTGTTACTGAATTCATTAAGACTTTTTTTTTTAACCCCCCTCGTCCCCCCCTCCCCGAAAAAAAAGTCAGATTATTTATTTTGAAACACGTGTCGAAAATCTACATTTTTTTTTTTTTGTAATGCATTTGTCACTCAATAAATATCAGCCATGTTTGGCTTGCTGTAACAGGGCAATAGAGTTCGTGGAATGCATTCCGGAATTAATACGGGAATTAATACAGTGAAACGACGGAAATACGATTCGGGAAATTATTCATATTACGATTTAGAATGGAGAGGATTTGCATATACAATGTTAAATCCAAAATGATCTCGTGTTTTGTTCCGAAATTTGGAGTTGCCTCGCTGGCTTTGCTAGTTTCTAGCCTCGTGTTTGGTGTGTGATTCTCACTGTGTATGTGTGTTTTTCTTCCTGTGTTTCGCATGTGCTTTAGTCTCGTATTTGATTAATGATTTCCACTGTTTTTTTCTCATTTGATTCTTCGTATGTGTGTGTTTACCTATTCTATGTGGTTAGCTGTCATTATTTTTCGTTATTTTTCTCAATCTCTTCAGGTAGCCTCAGTGTGGAGTCCAATGATCTCAACTCTTTCTCCCTTGTACTCCCATGTACTCCCACGTATTCCCATGTACATCTTTCTCAAAAGTGGCCTACTTTTCGAGCCCAAGTGGGCCATATCTCATCCAGGAGTGGCCAGATGCTGGATCAGTAATGGGTCATGTCTCCCACACGGGAATGGCCAGCCTTTGGAACTATAATGGACCAGAGTTTCTCACTGAGAAGAGAGAACTGGACACTGGAAAGAGAGAAATGCTGACTGGAAAGCCAACTTTTGACTGGTATTTCCCAGTCATTCTTTTGAACTCTTTTAAATACACAGGCTGAGAATTGGTTAGAAGCTGTTATCCTACCTCAGGTTATTTACAAGCTAAGACCTCTTATCCTAGTTTAGCTTCTACAGGATGCTACCCACAACAGTCAACTAACACCCAGGTACCTATTTACTACTAAGTGCGTAATACTGCAAGAGTATATGTGTGACTTGCCTGTGCGTCTCGACCTGCCCTTGATTGAACCCGGGCTCGCCTGTTGTGGCCCCACTAAATTGCTTTACAGCCATTGAGCAGGTGGTGAGAGGTGTACAGGCGATGACTGGGAGAGGAGCAATTAAACAGGTGCTTGTTGTACAGGTGTTAATTGGTTTACGAGTGATGGTAGAGACTCTCTCTCTCTCTCTCTCTCTCTCTCTCTCTCTCTCTCTCCCTTTTTTTACACAGGGTTTGACAAGGTTAAGGATCCCTAGCTTTATTGACAAGCTGTTTACAGGTTAAGGATTCCTAACTTTATTGGCAAGCTAAGAGCTGTTACCTACATCAGCTCATTTGAAAGCATTTTTATTGTTATGAGACATACAAGTAGGGAACAGGATGAAGTTGGAGCCATCTGTGGGCCAGCATTTTCATTTGATCAACTGACTTTATCTCGTTGACATCATTATGCTGTACGAATGTGTTCCATACTCGAGTCATCCTGGGTATATATGATCTCAGATGGAGTGATGTTCTGGAGAAGGGTACAGCCAGAGTGAAGT